ATCCCTTTATGACCACAAAACCGTTACTAGCGTGGTGTACCTAATAAAGTGGCCGGTGAGTGTATATACAGAGAACTTTACTTCTTTGTAGCCCACTGTCGAGAAAATTTTTAAATAAAAATGCCCTGAAGAATCAAGTGACTTCCACCACGTTTCTGCCCTGGCTGCAGCTCAGTCGGGTTCATGCGTGCGGCTGCGAGTTACCAAGCAACGGCTTGACAACAAAGACTCTCATTGGATGAGACGCAGGACGAAGGCCATCTAAAGCAATAGTGATCAAGATCCCGCCTCCCCGCGGTGACCAYTGGGTTTGTATATCTCTCTGTGTGTGTTAGCTGCCCAGTGGATGGATCAGCTGTTYGGATTAATTAATAAATAACTGCGTTAAYGMGCGTTAAAAAATTATAATTAAGCATTGGCTGTGTTAACGCGATAATAATGCATTAATGTGCCCAGACTGATTTTAAGAAATGTTTGCTTGCTAAGAGTTTATTTCAAATAATTTAATTTACAGTGTCATTTGGTTTTGGTCTTGTTTATTTATATAATGATCTTACCCACTTTTGGAGTCTTATCTTCTGGCATGTTATCGGTTGTTATTGGTTATCGGCTGTTAGAAGGAGAAAGTTATCGGTATCAGTTCTTAAAATAAGTTATCGTGCATCCCTAGTTTTGTCCTGGTCGTGGAACACTGGACCAGCTCTACACCCTCAGCAGGGTATTGGAGGGCGCATGGGAGTTYGCCCAACCAGTCTAGATGTGTTTTGTGGACTTGGAGAAGGCATTCGACCGTGTCCCTCGGGGAGTCCTGTGGGGCGTACMCTGGGWGTRTGGGGTACCAGGCCCTTTGATACGGGCTTCTCTACAATCTGTATCAGAGTTTGGTCTGTGTTGCCCGTAGTAAGTTGGACTCATTTCCAGTAAGAATTAGATTCCACCAAGGTTGCCCTTTGTCAATGATTCTGTTCATAACTTTTATGGACAAAATTTCTAGGCGCAGCCAAGGTGTTGAAGGRATCCTTTTTGTTGACCTCAGGATCGCATCTCTGCTTTGTGGTCCTATTGGTTTCATCAGATCATGATCTCCAGCTCTCACTGTAGTGGTTCACAGCCGAGTGTGAAGCGGCCTGGATGAGGATCAGTGCCATGAAATCCAAGACCATTGTCTTGAGCTGGAAAAGGGTAGGGTACCTTCTCTGGGTCAGGAAAGAGGTCCTGCCCCAAGTGGGGGCCTGTTCATAAATGAARGAAGAATAGAGTGGGAGATTGATAGGCGGATTGGTGCTGCGTCTGCAGTAATGCGGGTGTTGTATCAATCCATTGTGGTGAAGTCAAAAGGTGAAGCTCTCAATTTACTGGTCGATTTACGTTCCTACCCTCATCTATGGTCAGGAGCTTTGGGTAGTGACAAAGAAGGAGATCACAGATACAAGCAGCTGAAATATTTCCTCTGCAGGGTGTCTGGGCTCTCCCTTAGAGATAGGCTGAGAAGCTCAGCCATCCAGGAGGGACTCAGAGTAGAGCBGCTGCTCCTCCACGTCVAGAGGAGCCAGTTGAGGTGGTTCATCTGGTTAGGATGCCTCCTGGACDCCTCCCTGGTGAGGTGTTCTGGRCACGTCCCACTGGGAGGAGACCCAGAGGAAGACCCAGGACACRCTGGAGGGACTATGTTTCTCAGCTGGMCTGGGAACACCTTGGGATTCCCCCAGAAGAGCTGGTCCAAGTGGCTGGAGAGAGGGAGGTCTGGGTCTCTCTGCTTAGGCTGCTGCCCCCTCGTTCCGACCCCAGATATGTGGGAGAAAATGGACGGATGGTTGGATGGAAAAAACAAAAGGGCCTTCTGTTAATTCACAGAACTCAGGCCCTAATATTCATCCCAAAAACAATAGGGGCTTCACTGCTTACAGAGTTTGTGCCTTACTTTTCAAGTCAAAAAYAAGGTGTCACTGTGTGTGAAATCATTGTTTTCAAAATGGTGTGTTTAGACTGTTCACACTAGAATACAGTGGTACCATTTGAATTTTTTTCACTTTGGAAATTGGTTTCAAAAGGTCGATTTAAAAATTACTATTTATGTAGTCCTAAAATGCAGTTTCTTTGTGGACACTTACCAGAAACAATACAAATCGTTTTTGCATCCACAACCCACTATTTCTGTGTGGACTGGGCTTCAGTGTCCCTCTTCCGTTATTGGTGGTGGTTTAACTTTGCTTTTAATTAAATGGACTGTACTTAAATAGCACTTTTCTACCCAACCATGATGCTCAAAGCGCTTATTAGATCTCACTACAAAGCTAAAACAGGTGAATTAATCGAATGAGGATAATCAGTGCTTTAAAGCAGGGGTTCTCAAACCTTTTGGTACTGGAGGCTCCTTGCAAGGATGAAAAATTACCAGGGACCCCCACATAAACCCCAGGCTATTTTAAAAATCATTTATATTTATTTTTTAACCCCTAAATGTAATGGGAATTTTTTTTTGATCTAGTATGTTTGTTTGACTAGTGCGTTGTTGTCCTTAAGCTTATTTTGAAATAAAAACCAAATTAACAATTTATTGAAATTTCTGAGGACTCCCAACATACATCTTGCGGACCACTGTGATTTAAGAGCTTTAAATCACAGTGGTCTCTGGCTTTAYACAGTGGCTCTGCTTTAAACCAGAGTCATACATTGATGGGACACGCATCAGAGGCAGTGGGGGTTCAGTGTCTTGCCCAGGGACATTTTGACATGTGATGGAGCAACGGCCAACACTCACATTAGAGGACCGACTCCCATCACCACTCTGCCACAGCTGCCCTGATTAATTAGTTATTACGTTCTATACAAAAACACCACTGTCATAATTGAGTCATATTAGACGCACTACATCAGTTTTACATTAAAATAATAAAAAAMATTTCAAAAGTTATAATAATTCGGCACTCAGCAATCACTTGTTTTCACACAAACACTTGTACAACCCACCTTAGTGTAAACGCCCCATGACAGTTCTGTTTCTGTCACCATAACGACTATCCCAAACATTCCAAAGATGAGTGCGTAATCGCTGAGCCGCTTCCTTTTTTCAAACAGCGCCCTCCGGTGACCAAGCTTGTATCCAATGTCCCTGTTCTTCTTTTGGGGTGCCCTGTCCCCGCCTCTTCTGCCACCATCTCTGACCAAGCTCTCATTGGATGCTTTACTGGGGTCTTCACCAGCATTTCCCTTTGACACCACCACCTCCAGGCCAGAGCTGTGTAGTGTCTGCAAGGGCTGTGTCTCCGAGTCGAGCTCAGCGAGGTTGCGGCGTGACGAGGATGTCAGGCTGCCCACCAGTGGTCTCACCACTCCACCATTGTACTTGCAGGTGTTCATGGCTATCTGAGGGAGTCGGCTGCTGCTCTCGGAGAGGGAGGGCTTGGATTCAGCATGGCTCAGCTTCTTCTGCTCAGTATTGGCCTGTAAACATGAAGAACAAAGATAAATGAAACACTCCCAGAATGCAATGTGTTTAAAAACTGACAGTGAGCTAAAGACACCCACACAGGATCATGCTATGAATACGACCTTGAACATGACTTTAATTTAGAACTGAAGGAGATAGAAAAAAATATGATGGCAAAACGATTTATTAACTACTGAATGGAACTTCTAATCCTATCTCTAAGGGAGATTCACTACCAAAAGTTTGGGGCTGTAGGTGAGGGTAGGAATGTAGACCGACCGGTAACCAGAGAGCTTTGCCTCACAGCTTAACTCCATCTTCACCACAACAGACTGGTACAGAGTATGTMAATRCTGCAGAAGCAGCACCGATCTGTCGGTCAATCTCATGCTACATTTTTGTCTCATTTATGAACAAAACTCTAAGATATTTAAACTCCTCCACTCGGGGCAGAATCTCACCCCAACCCAGGGAGAGCAATCCACCTTTTGTTCTGACTGAGGACCATGGACTCAAATTCGGAAGTGCTGATTCTCATCCCAGCCAGTTCACATTTGGCTGCAATCTGCTCCAGTGAGGGTTGAAGATCACGGCCCAATGATGCCAACAAGGCCACTTCATCTGCAAATAACAGAGATGGAATCCTGAGGCCCCCGAACCAGACTACCTCTGCACCCTGGCTGCACAGGGAAATTCTGTCCATAACAGTTATGAACAGAATTAGTGACAATGGGCAGCCCTGGCGGAGTCCAACTCCTACCCTAAAGGGGCCAGACTTCAGACTTGCTGGAGTCAATGTGAACCAAACTCTAGCATAGCTTGCATGGGGACTGAATGGCCCACAACAATGGGCCCACAATCCCATACTTGTGGTACAAACCTACACTTAGACAGTGATCTGAGAAGCCCACGTCTGAGAGAAACTCCTTGTTGTAGTCTGGATAAGCGAGACATGGGGCGGATTTTAGTTTGTCTCTGAGGTCGTCCATTGCCTGTTGCTGTTTGTCAGTCCAGAAAAATGGGACATCCTTTTTCAACAGTTCAGTCAGTGGTTTTGCTAGATCTGCATAGTTTTCCACAAACTGGCGTGAGTAGTTGCACACACCAAGAAAACTTTTCTGCTCTTTGAGATTGGAGGGAGTCTTGAGGTTGTCTAGGCCTTGGGTGCAACTAAGTTGTGGTTGTACTCCCTTAGGACCTACCAGTAGGCCCAYATAGTCCACCTTAGTTTTGCACCATTGGCACTTTGACAGTGATATTTTTGCACCTGCGCTTGTCAGTTGATTTAGAACGTGATCTATCTCAGCCAAATGTGAGTCCAGAKCTAGTTGTCGTAACAGGATGTCATCGACATTAATCAGAGTTCCACATACATGAGCGTCTGTACATGCTTTGTTCAGAAAAATGTTGAACTCAGCTGGTGAGTTACAGTAGCCAAAGGGACACCTGGTAAAGGTGTATTGTCGGCCAGCAAAGGTGAAAGCCAGTTTGTGTTGATCCTCGACATGCACAGGGATGGTTCAAAAACCAGAGGCTATGTCGAGGGTTGAAAAGTATTTACCATTGGTGACCTTMGGCAGTTCCTGTTGGATCTGAGTCATTGACCACCTGGACAAAGGAACTTGTTTGTTCAGCTTTCGGTAGTTGATTGTGAGTCTCCACTTCCCATTTGGTTTTAAAACCAGCCATAAAGGCGCAGAGTAGGTACTGTTACATGGTCTGATTACACCTTTGTCTAAAAGATCATCAATGATTGCTTGGACAGGTTGATGTGATGCCAAGGGAGTTTTGTACTGTCTGACAAATGTGGGTGGAGCATTGTATGGGGTTGGGATGCGGACTGTGTGGACTGAGGTCAGTCCACAGTCCAGTGAGTCAGTTGAGAATGACATCTCATATTTTAAGAGAACTGCACACAATTTTTTTCTTTCTTCATCAGTTTTCAGGGTGTCGGCTTGGGCGACCACCTGTTCAATCTGTGAAYGAAATGGGGAGGAGTCTTGTTCTGTAGGGAACTCTAGGGGGTCCCCCTCTGTGTTGTCTGGCCTGTCCACAGGTAGGGCGTTGTAGGTTTGAGGCACCAAGCTTTCTATCTCGCCAAGAACGATCCCTCTGACTGCGTCAAAGTCGAAATCGGTGGCTGAGAAGAGAGCTATGGCCTGGGTTGGTTTTGTGAACAAGACTATCTCAGTGTGGTGTTCCGGGATCAAATTCTCAGGAATCTCTCCCAAGAATGGAACACTCAGTTCACAATCATGAAAACCAGTGCTGATTTACCATCCTAATGGCGTGTTTTTAGGGATCACTATCTCTGTGGTTGCGTTGCACACAGTGAGAGATGTGTTCCCGGAGTCAAGGCACACTAAGGTATTGGCTTCGAGAGAGAGTCCTAGTTTTAAAAACTTAGGAGATGGTTGAAAGAAAGCCTCTTTGTGGCTAACAGCCTGTCCAGCTAGGATGTAGATTTGTAGCACATCTGATGTTTGAGGAGGCACTGTGGTCCGGTGATTGTTAGCAACCTGGCAGACCTCAGGGATGGTCTGTCTGGCTTTCAGGCTAACTGCGTCTAGCACATGAAGTTCTTTTGGAGTAGTTTCCAGTGACCACTGCACATAGGGTAGCAAAGAGGGATGCAGCTTCAGTAGCTGCAGATGCAAAAACTCGGGCATGGAGGAATTTCAGGGTGACCATGGACAAGGACTTTCGATTGGCCTCGAGGAGGTTTTGGCAAACCGTTCGACTCAGAAAAAGAAAGCGTTCCCTGTCCCATGCTGTACTTAGCTTGGGTGGGGAACTGCTGACCAGGACTGAGGATGAATATCRAATGAATGATACTTTATTGATCCGAAGGGGAAATTACAGTTCAGAGCACCCRTTCAAGAATAGGTACCCCCAGGYCATGCGTTTTATTTAAGATTTAAGTTGGTTTAGAAGGTCTTTTTTATTTGAAAGGTCCTTATGGCTCATCAGCAGAAGCAAAAATAATACTTTTAAGAAAGCTTATGATAAAGTTGATCTAAAATCTAAGTTTGATTATGAAGTGAAATTAAATATCTGACGGTGATTACACAGTGTGTCTATAATTCCTYACTTCACCGTTGGTGTCACTAGCCTCCCATCTCCAAAACGAACACATGCATGGATCAGAGCTGGCTTGAGGGACTGCATATTTTCACGCCAAGTTTGAATTTTATAAATCAAAACCTTGGCGTGAAAAGTGGTGTACGCAAGTTCCTGGCCCCATTTTGTACGTACGCAAGCTTTATAAATGCGACCCCAGAGCATGTAGTATGTATCTCAACAACAGCCTGTAGGACTGCCCTACAGGCCTAGATTAGACATCAACACTCAGTCCCTTGGAGGGAGCTGATGGACTGTAGACATGCATGGGAACTGATAAATGGCCCAAATCTTAGGTTTAGGAGAGCTCTCATCATGAAACTCACGATGGGACTCCATGACAATAGTCTGTGTGATATCTGTGGCATTGAATTAGAGACTTCTTTGCACTACATAGTAGAGATCGACCGATACAGTTTTTTGAAGACCGATACAGATTATTTTGACATCAGTCTAACCAATACGCCGATACGTACAGCCGATTTCTTTTGGCTGATTCTTGAAGCCGATACTGATTTTTCTTCCTGCATTAGCATGATACAATAAGAATAATAACAAATGTTABGCAGGTCTCAATTTAAACAAAAAAGAAACATTTATTAACTGAGCCTTGTCTGGTGTAGGCTGAGTGAAGTGCTGCCACACAGGATTTCTTCTTTCAACCCTTTCTTAAAAAAATTAATAAATTAATAATTTATTTTATCTAGTGCTAAAAATTCTGTTTTTATTTGTATATTAATCAGATTTATATATTTTTTACGGATAAATAAAATGACTACGTTTTAATATCCCAGCACTTTTGATGTAAAAACAGCAACATGCCTAAAGAGGAACACAGAGAAAGGGAGAGAGACACACATACATCTTGCTATCTTTGTGAGGACTTCACACGCACACACAGTGCTCAAAGCAGCTCTGCCTCAATCTGTGCCCATTTTTTACACTGGGCAAAAAATGCATTGAAACCAGCTTTGAAATGTACACCGAAGAAAACCTACATCATAACTTTTATAATGTGGTCAGACCAAACGTGATCTGAGCAGAGTCTGCCTGGTTCACATGTGGACGGCAGCGCTTTACTCGCTATTATGAACGTAACAGCAAGAAAAGACTGAGAGCTTTTTTGGTTTAATCCACCAGGGAGAAGAATAGAGGTGTTCTTCTTTGCCTCCTGTGAACAGTTCAACATGGACAAACAACATGGACAGGCTAAATACAGTGCGGGGTGAAAGTAAAAACATGGCGGTCCCATTCTAAAAGTGAAACTTAACACACAGCTGTTCTCTCCCCCTCATAGTCTGAGACAGAAAAGCTAAATTAGACAGTTAAAACACATTAAAAGTTTATAACTCACCCTTATTGTTGTTAGCACTCTGTCTTACAACATTACCAGACGCTCTCTCCCAGGGASGGGGAGGCAACATGCACATGCGTGACCCAAGGAATGGATCGGCCGAATGGATAAATGTATCGGCCRATACCGACACAAGGAAAAAACGCAAATATTGGCCAAAAATATCGGCCGGCCGATGTATCGTCAACCCCTACTACACAGGCCACTGCCTGGCTCTGAGTAGTTAAAGGAGAAGAATTCKTGTTGACCCCTTTAAGGATCCTGAGAAGCTCAGAACACTGAATGTTTCTAACRTTGTGTCCTTCATCCGAGGAACTCAAAGATTTCATTAAAGCTCAGTGTCTTTTTGGGGAGAGCAATGGTTGGGTGCACTTACAAGATCCCCTGCTCAAATGGGTCCTTTATCCATCTCACCATAAACCATAAAATAAATCATATAGAATGACACTAACCACTCTGCCACAGCCGCCCACTTAATTCCAACTAGTTTATTAAATTTGAACTAAATCCAGCTTTCAGCATGTGCACAATGTTGTCACAGAAAAGGATATTTTTTACAAAGACAGTAGAGTTTTAGAAAGAAGGCAGTATGTTACCTATGTGCATTTCCTTCCTTTGGTAGTATGTCATCAAAACCAGAGCTTTCAAAAACAAATAAATAATAAATGTTATTAGATGTATAAATAAAACTATATATCCAACAGTGGCTCCGACAAAGTGCAGAAAATTGAATTGTTGCGCTGCACAAATTTGGATATAAATGATTAATGCTTGCTGTAGCCCATGTGTTTCCCATCACAGGCACATTTTTTACAGAGATGTGCAAAGAGAGAAAAAAGGAGAAATAAGAAAAAAGAATGGACTTTGATCTTTTTACACAAAACTTTCCATTATTTTGAGCTCTAAACAAAGAAAGGAAACAGTATAAGACTCTTTTTAGCCCTGAAAAACTGACCCTGTATAATCGTAATTTAAACTAATTATGAGCAAATTGTATGGTTAGGTTTTATAAAAATGAAAATATTTTAAATACACATTTTTTATCTTTTGTTTTCTCTCTAAAGCTATTTTAGCATTTAGCTTTTTATGCTATTTCAGCTATGTTTTTGCTACCTTTTTTATAC